TTTTTTTTTTTTTTTTAAGACTTTAACTAGTGGCTCTGATAGAATCCTCTGCATGTTTCCTATGGACCTAATCAAATTTAATTTATTGAAAAGACTTCTGTTTATTTCATGGAGATTAGATGAGATGTAATTTATAGTCTTGGTGTGGGAGTCTGGTTTTCCATCCAACACAGTACTATCTCTAATCAAAGAAAGTCACTATAGTGTCTCACGAAATTTAGAAGGAAAGTTCTTTACATCACTTAAGAGGGATGAGCAGAGACTCGATAGAAAACTGGCTTGTAAAAGGCATGGACACAGCTACTAACACCGTTCCCTCATATTGTACCTAAATTTTCTCAACCAGGCACTTCATCTAGATAGAGTGATCTCACACACTTCAGTACTTGCCAGCAGTCAAGTTTTAACTCAACCAGTTTTTAATGTGTTCAGCAGCAAAGGGAATGGGGCAGCTGCCACCTTGGATTGGTCATTTAAAGGATTATGATATTCACGTAAAATTGCTGGTGATTTCTAGACACACTTTCGGCCAAGCTCCTGGATCCTGATATCCAAGATCCTGGATAACGTTCAAGCAGAAAATATATTTGTATCTGCAATGTTAATTCTACCACTGGATGGCTTTACATGAAAGAAGAAACAATTTAGAAAACCAGAAGAGTAATACCTTGTCTTTCTGAAATGGGGGTTTTGTTCCCTTGAACAAAAGTGACAGCTGAGGAGAGCTTGTTTCTCAACTTATTGTTCTCTTTTGTAGGAAGAATGATAACTGTTTAACATTCAGCACAAACTTCATATGGAAGGAAACACATTGAAATAAACTTATTTGCATGTTACAGAAGTTTTCACAGGACATATAGCCACATCTTAGCTGTAATAATGGTGTTTTAATGAAACTTATTTGTTTCTTATTTATTGAAACTTTATTTCATGGAGATTAGATGAGATGTAATTTATAGACTTGGTGTGGGAGTCTCGTTACATGAACTTATTTGCTTCCTATTTGTTAAAACTTATGTTTTAAGTGAAATTTATTTCATGTTAATTAAAAAGCAATCTTTTCGGCAATGAGTTTTGGTGATCAAATTGCATGTGGACCCAAGAAGACACTGCCTGAGCTCAGAGTTTAGCCACACCTTCAGAAGCCCAAGTGTATCCCTTGTCCCAGTGACCCCTGTGAAACCAAGGGGAGAAAGCCATCTGTTAACTCTGCGCTGTAAAGAAGATGCCATACTTGCTCTTTGACATCACTAGCAATAGCTGGTAATTAATTGTGATTACAAAGACAAATTCTTTCCTGAGAATACTGTAACAGCATTTTGATTAATACTGAGATTCTAAGGAACATCCCCAGGACAGCGTTATTCGATCATAGAACTTACATCTTGTCTTCACCTCCCTCTCTATCCCAGCTTTACACAAGTGCCTTTAATTAGCACATCCTTAATAAGATACTTCACTGAAAAAGAAAGCAAAGAGCAGGAAAGCAGGCACTGAGTTGTGGTTGTAATTCAAGAACTGAAAAGAGCAGGGGGTGGAAATACATCAGGGATATAAGAAGCCGAAACAGTCACCCGCCTTCCAGATGACCACGGCGCTTTTAATCAGGAAATAAGCAAGGATCAACCCAGATCCACCTGCATGTTTTGATTACAGTGACACCGCAAGAGCACTGTGGCTCCAGCCATGAATCAGAAACCCAGCACGCCACCTCTCACGCAAACACGTAATAAACAGACACCCTTCAAACACCCCTCATTTATTATAGTGACGTTTTAAAACCGCTTTAAACGGGAAAATTCGGATTCGTCTAGAGGAACAGGGGCACATCTCTCCACCACCGCAACTAAAACTCGAGACCGGCGGAGGACTGGGCTCATCGCTGCAGACCGGCCCACCCCCAGTCCACTCGGACTCCGCGCAGTTTGGGGGCAGGTTTCCGGCGTGGAGGCTTCCCGCCCTGCCGCCAGCAGGCCCGCCGCCCCACGCCGCCCCGCCTCGCTTCGCGGCGGAGCTCCGCCTCCCATCCGCGCTGCAGGCGGAGGGCTACGGGTTACGGGCTGAGCCGCGCCCGCAACGACGTCTCTCCCTTCAGTCGCTCGACCACCCGCCGGCACCCAGCCCCGCTCTCCCCAGCAGCCTGTTCCCGGCGGACTGGGGCTGCTTCTCAGCGTCGGCTTCCCCTGCAGCCTGGAGGCTCCCAATATGAGCTGCATCGTTCGCGCTGAGAGACAGAAGGTAGGGGCAGTGGGCCGCGAGTGGCGGAGGCCCAGCGTGCGGCGGGCAGGCGGCGGCCGGGAGCGCGGCCCTTTGTTCCGGCGCGGGGCGCGGCGGTGGCACGGCCTCTTCTCCTCTTCCCTCCCCTCCCGTCGCCGAGGGAGCGCGCGCCCTCGCTTGCCCGCCGCTCTCTGGGGCCGTTCTCCGCGCCTTTTTCACGTTCCGGAGTTGAGGGTCGTGCCGAGGCGGAGCGGGGCGAATCGCACTGCGACCGGCGGCCGCAACTTGGCGGGTGGGAGAGGGGCGCCGGAGGGCGCCGCGGAGCACGGTCCGGCCGCGGGGCGAGGCGGCGGCGCCGGTCGGTGGGGCTGCGGAGCTGATGGCCGCCTGCGGCCGCACGCCTCGTTCCCTGGCTCTTCCGGACGGATGGAAAAGATTTCCGGTTGCGTGCAAATGATCGGGGAGTGAGGGGGAGCCGGGGGAAGAGAGAAATCCACGCGAAGGGAGGCGTTGGGGAACGGAAAGATCGGGTTTGAAGAGGCCGCGGGGTTGGCACCGCGTAGAAGGGCTGTACCTCGAACTGGAGGCCGGCTGTGGCTGCGGCGCTGGAAGCACGGGACTGGTGGCTGGAGCGGGGAGCGGCTCCGGCTGCGAGCGCGGCGTTGCGCGGCCGTTGGAGCGGAAGGGCGCTGCTGCGGGGCTCTGCTGCGGGAAATGCTGCTTCCAGGCCTTCCCGACGTACGCTTCTGCACTTGGAGCTCCTTAAACTGCTCGCTCGTAAAGACGGCCCAAAGACTGAATTTCCTTGTACTGTACGTGAAACAC